CCCTGCTCTGCTCCCGATCTGTCTCTCGATCTCCCTCTAGAGTTGGGGTTGAAGGAGATGATTTTTCTTGTGGCTTTTGTCTCCTTTTATAATTGTGAAGTTTGGAATCTTCAATTTGGAGTAGGATTCTTGGAATTTGCGTTGGATTTGGGGAAGGACTCTGTTTCTTGCGCCTTCCGTTTGGAGTCTGCTCTCTTCTGCGCTGGTTTGCTTCCTCTTCTACGGTTCTTTCTTTTTCTTCCTCTTTTATTTATTTGCTTGCTTCAATAATTGGTTGGGTCAAGAGGGTGGTGGATCAAATACATCTTTGGGCTTGGTCCTAACTCATTCTTCTCCCATTGCTTTTGTTCCATAGGCCCAATTCCATTATCTTCCTTAGATCAGGACTCCAAATTAATTATCAAATATAAATATGCTCAAAATCATGCATTTTATGTATAAAATGTAAACAATAGCCTAAAATGCTAAATAGAACAAAATATGATTATTTAGGTATAAAATCCACATGAATTGTATTAAAAAAACTAAGAAATGAGGAAATAAAATATGATATTTTGTGACTCAACAGCCAGGCAACAGCGCATCATCCTTGTAGGGAAGGAGGAGTCTTTTTTTCAAACTGCGACTCCGTTAGGCTTTGGGGTGTGATGGAATAAATCAAAATGGATCTCTAAACTGTCTGCGCTTCTTTAATTAATGAAGTAGCAGTTAGTCAAGCAATACAACTTTCGACGTTGAGCCGGGGGTCTCTTTGGAAACAGCCTCTCTACTTTCGAGTAGGGGTAAGGTCTGCGTATACACACCCTCCCCAGACCCTACTCTTGTGGGATTTAACTGGGTTGTTGTTGTTGTTGTCGACTCCGTTAGGCGGGAGAGTGTAAAATAACTGGGTTGGGTATGAAACGTAGTGACTATCTCCCGTTCAGACCACCCAAAACTCCTAAAGGTTGCGACTTTTTTGTCCATGTTCGATTTACTCACGTTAGACATTGCCAGTACTCCGTAGAAGAACATAGGGGAGGCACGGGGAATGCCAAGTATACCGAGACGAGATAGAAAGATTTATTAAAAAGTTAAAGGGTAGAAACTATCAAATCTACGAACAGAACATCGTACGTGCCCAATTAAGGTCAATGACAAGAGAAGCAAACTCATTAAACTTTGACTAATAATAAAACGAATCTACTTGGATCAGGAGGAAGGGCTTACAAGAAAACAAACTTCTAATTAGCCTCTATTCTTTTACAACAGGGAAGAAGAAAAACAAGAAGAAGAAGAGATGATCACCAAAAACAAACAAATAGCAAGAACATGACAAAAGGTAGGTTCCAGGCAAGAAAGAAAGACATTTTGTCTTCCCAAAGCTAGCTATAGCTTTACCTGGTGACTAGTGTGGTTAGTTCACCGAGGACCGGACAGTTCGACCGCATGCAAATTCTCAGTGGAGTCGACGATCCAGTCAGAGGTGGAGTGAGGCGGGGCCAGCTCCACCTCGCGCCGGAGAACTTCCACCTTCTGCCACTCGTCCCACCTCTCGGCCAGCCCGTCCCCTTCCAACATCTTCACCACGTCAGACATCTTCGGCCTCTCCATTGGGCTGCTCTGCGTGCACAGCAGCGCCACCTGTATCAGCCGCTCCACCTCCCCCTCCACGTACTTCTTCTCCAGATCCGGATCCACCAGCATCTCCAGCTTCCTCTCCTTCAGCAGCCCTTTCACCTGTACCCATTCATTCATTCATATGAATACACTCCCAGAAAATGTTGCACTCATTGAATGGATGAAGGGAATGCACACATACCCAATCAAGCAACATGACATCGTCGTCATTGGCAAGGCGGGCGAGATCAAAGGCTCGTTGTCCGGTGATGAGTTCCAGAAGCATGATGCCATATCCGAACACGTCGGTTTTTTCCGAAGACTTCCCGGTGGACAAGTACTCCGGCGCGATGTGCCCGATCGTGCCGCGGACGGCCGTCGTGACGTGAGTGTCCTTGTAATCCATGAGTTTGGCCAGCCCAAAGTCTCCCACGACCGCCTCGAACTCCTCGTCCAACAGTATGTTTGCAGCTTTCACGTCGCGGTGGATGATCTTCGGATCACAATGGTCGTGTAAATACGACAGTCCCCTCGCGGACCCCAAAGCAATGCGTTTTCTCGTTGCCCAATCTAGTGGTGGTTCACCCGGTGCTCGTTCTACAAAAGTTGAGGGTAAAGTAGTCTTTTAGTCGTAAAAAAAAGTGCAGATTGTCTTTCCATTAGAAGAAAGGGATTAAGGGAGTACCTCTCAAACATGAAGCAACACTTCCATTGGCCATATAGGGATAAACAAGAAGGCGCTCAGTGGCTGTCATACAAAAGCCACGCAAGCGAAGGAGATTTCTATGAACTGCCATGCTAATCATCTCAACTTCTGTTTGGAATTGAAGCTCCCCGCCAGGGGTACGCTCCTCTTTTAACCGCTTCACGGCAACCAGGGAGCCGTCGGCAAGGCGCCCCTTGTACACCTTACCAAACCCACCTCTCCCTAGAATGTTCTTGTTGCTAAAGCTATCGGTTGCAACTTGTAGCTCTCTGAGAGAGAACCTCTTTAGCTGCCCCAAGTGAACTTCAGGATCTTCTTCAGCTGCAAAATTTATACATGTATAGTTCTTCCTTTAAGGGTCCGTTTGGAAAGATGGAAAATGGATTTTCTTGAAAGTAAATTTACTTTCTGGTGTTTTCCGTTTGGTTGAAAGTGTGGAAAATAAAAAACAACTAGATTCCATTGTTAATAACATAATAAAACGTGACGAGTTTTGGTCCAAGTAGGAAAAGGGTGGAACATGTCCTGAGCCGGAAAAAAGGGAAATCATTTTCCTCCTAATAAGCCTCATTTTTCGTTAACTCTGGAAATCATTTCTTGTTGACTCCTATTTTCTGGAACAACTAAACACCTGAAAATGAGAAAATGACTACCTCCCTCTTCCCAAACAGAAGAAGAAGAAGAAGAAGAAAACAAAAATTGTTCAAGAAAAATAGGGTCAAGTACTAACCTGGGACATCAAAGAAAAAATCTGGTGGCTTTCTGCGACGCCACCATGCAAAAGCAAGGGCAGGGGCAGAAAAGAGTAAAGCGGCACCTGCAGCTACTGCTCCAGCTATAGCTCCGGTTATACTATTTCCACCTGATGTTTTATTGTTTCATATAAAAAAAGGAATTAAAATGGATGGATTCTACAAATCTCCTAACAAAAATTGTTGAATCAAGATTTAATCACAAGACTCTTCAAGTATATACTCCGTACTTTCTTTGTCACATAATTTACTTGCTGCATGGACTTGACACACTTATAGTGAAAATGAAAATGTGTGGCTGTGTGGTTGACGTTTATTAAAAAGGGAAGAATAAATATTAGCCACACAATCCTTTCCCTGAGAGTATGTTTGGATTCCACAAAATGCTAGGGAAAGGAAAAAAAACAAAGTCATTTCCTTGAGTTTGGTTTTACACAAGAATAATACAAAGGAAAATAATATATTCCTAGATTTGAAGTAATAGAAAAACATATGTAAACGAGTATGAACAATTATAACAATGACTCAATAAAATCTCAAAAAATATAAGGTCTAGGGAGGGTGTATGTACGGATTGTATAGAGGCTTTTTTCCAAGAGACCCCGGGCTCAAGTATAGAAGTTTGAACGAATAAATTTTTTGAGTTTGAACAAATGTTTTATTTTCGGCCACATTTTTTGGTTTTTTACTTCATCTTTATTCTTCCAGAAGCATTTCCCACGTATTAAAAATGGACCCTAAAAGGAAACAAGAAAAGAGTTTTGGGAGGACCCAAGGAAAACAAGGAGGAAGTTTTGGGACAAAGGGACTAACAAACAAAATGTTAAAACACCACAATAAAACTAAATTCAGCCCTCATGCAAAATTGAACATCCATAGGGTGGAGATGATTCGGCAGCCCACATAACCAAATCATACACACAAAAAAACCATTTGCCAACAATAATTAGAACAATTACCTGGAGAAGAAATCGGAGGTAGTGAAACAAAAGGCGGAGGTGGAGAAAATGGAGGAGACCCGGGGCAAGGATGTCCAGTAACCGGCCCACAAAGATTCAAATTATTGGCAAAACTGTACACATTCATAGATCAGCTAATGATCAGTTACCATTATGGAACCACACTCAAAGAAATTCAGCTAGACCGGTCATAAGGGTACCTAATAGGAGTGAATAGGGAAAAAGAACCATTGTCTGGAACTTGGCCAGAAAGACGATTGTTTGATAGGTCCCTGAAAACAGAACCATGTTACATGACAGCTCAAGTGTTTGAAAAAGTAATGAAAGCAAAGAGACCAGAAAGGGAAAACTGTACAAATGAAATCACACAATGCACTCACAAGACTTGTAGGGATGAGACATTAGTTAGTGACATTGGTATGGAACCTGTTAGGCTGTTGTTGTTGAGTCGGCTATCCATGCACAAAGATCACAAGGAAAAAATCAAATTAGACTTTTCAAGGATGGCTTCAATTGTTTCAGAATATAAATCAATCATGCGGGCAAAAGAATATTTAACCTTGACTCTAAAGCCAATAATTGGGCCAACAATTGATTCCCCACATAACAAACAATGATCACTTCATTCAGTTGATGCATATTGATAATTATAAAAACTCATGTCCTAAAATTCAAAATTACATAGATATTCTTATGAAGTAGGCTCTCTTCAGCTAGTGAACATGCTGTTAAGGTAGACTGAAAATTAATGCATTGTAACAGAAGAAGAACGACTCGTTGAAAAGGAAGAATCTTTACATACAGGAAGCGCAGTTTTGACAGCTTGCCTAAGGAATCTGGTATAGGTCCTGTGAAGCTGTTCGAGTAGAGATCCAAGCTAACCAGATTTGTCAGATTTCCAAGGTCAGTTGGAATTATCCCACTTATGTTATTGCTGTAGAGCTCCCTGTTGAAATCAATCAATCAAACAACCCCATTGGTTTCATATTTCATATCAAACCTACAACAGGTTTGATATGTTATTTCATATCAAACCTGCATGTACTTGGTACATGCAAGTACTGCAAAACCTCATTAAAGCGGAGAGATAAGGTCAAAGTTGCAAAAAAAGATTTAAGAGCTTTAGACATACAAGTACTGCAGATTCTTCAGCAAGCCAAGTTGAGTGACTAATTGTCCGGACAAAGCGGCATTTCCCAGGTCACTGTAAGAAAATATAAGAGGAAAACAAGATTGCTTGAATTAATGCTCTCGCGCAAACTGTATCATGAAATGCACAAAAAACTGCAGAACACGAGGGAGCATTTCTCACACTCTTATAACACTGTTATCACTGTTGCAAGTAACATGGAACCATGTGCAAGGATTGACAAGGGTAGGGTCCCAACTCTGCAAAACATTGTTAGGATCTTGTAAGTTGGTCCTTAGGCTGTGCAAAGCATCACCTACTCATACATACAATAGAAAACAGTCAATGCACTTGTGATCTTTCACAAATTAAGTATGGAGTATATAAAAAGTTGGAAGAGGCAATCATGCACATTCATTGAAAACCCATAAGTTAAATTGGGGGGGGGGAGACGTTCGATCACCCAAGCTGCTTCTAAAGCATTTACACAAACCTAATGTTATGGCCAATAGCTAACAATAAAGGAGACAGTATTCCCCAGGATAGGGTTAACTGCTCATACAAGCTTGAATAATCCCAAACTACTGACCAGACACCATCCAAAATCAAATTTATTTAAATTCCCATTTCTCTAAAGAGTTAAAAGATTCAATTTTTGAGGAAAAATGCCTGAATTTCAGAATACCCATTTCGGAAATAACCTCAAAAGGCATAGAATTGGAAACAACAATTGAAAAATTATAACAGCAATAAGGCAAATTTATCAACAGGTAAACACCTTCCAGGTTAGCAACAATGAGTCTCAGATGAAGAACCACCAGGATCAGCAGCACTGTCAGTGAAATCGAGGTCTCTCTCTGAAACCCCCTCATCATGACCTATACATACAGACTTATATGCGTCTATATATACACAACAGCTACTACAACCGCTACCACAAAGCAAGCAAATGCCTCTCTTAGATCCAGTGAAAAGCACACTCATTTACCCAAAACCCCAAATAAAACCCCATACTCCACAAGACCATCCGATCTCATCACCAGAACAAAGATTAAAAATTTAATTTTTCCCCTTTTTTCTGCCAGCCCTTTCGAGCTCTCTTCAAGCTAGGAGCTTCTTCTTCTTCTTCTTCTTAGTCTTCTTCGGAAACTTCCCCCCTTCCTCTCAATGCAAGATTTTACTCCCTTTCCCAAGAACTGTTGCCCGTCGTCTTACTGTGATTTCTCTCTCCTCAGTGGCCTGCCCGGACGGAGAGGGGTCAGGGGCGAGAAAGTTGTTTTTTGGTGATGTGTTGGGCACTTGCACTTGTTTGTGTTGCTTTTTTACAGACGGGTGCGGTGTGTGCAACAGCTTCTTTAAGAGCTGCCCGAACGGTGGTGCTCTGCCCGTACTGCCCGAAATCCTATACCTAAAACGGCTTCGAGGTTTCTTGAATCTTGACTACTGTCGTTTTTTTCGGAAAAAAAAAAAAAACGTTGTCACCATTCATAGGCATACAATAGACGTTTGAATAGTCCAAAGGATTCCGATGCTAATTTGGATCTACGGAAGTACTCCGCACATGTTCCGTCTTCCCAAGTCCCAACCAATTAGAGACCTTCCAATTCTCTCTGTCCCTAAATATTTGCCACACTTGTATTCTTGAGGTAAAATATTAAGTTTTTTTCAATTCATTTTATTTACATATTGGTATAAAAATAAAAAATAAAATTTACATATCAAAAAACTACATGAAAAGTTCTTCGAAATAAGAGGTGTCAAGAATATTTTATTTTATGAAATAAGCAATGAAAACGTAGAAATAAACAAAAGTTCCCGCGACTGCTGAAAAAGCAAATGTTGCAAATAATTTGGGATGGAGGGAGTATTACTCAAATAATTTGGATACAAATTAAATAAATTTGTTATTTCTTTACTTTTCTAAGTAAATAAAATGATTATAAATATTTAAAAGATGAAAAGTTAAATACATAAATGGCGAATTTGTATATAATTTGTTTGTAACTCTAGTATTATTTTTTTTACACAACTTTTATACCGTATATCCGGCTGTATAATTTTTTCATACAATTGGGTGTTTTTTTGTATCTACAACTTTGATCGCAAAAGAATAAAAGTCAAAATCCTATGTGATGAAAAGGAATAGAGCAGAAACAACCAAGCTGAATTTGTGAAGCTGCGATGAACAAGGAGTTGCATGCGTCGGGATTAGTCATTCCCTTCAAAGCCCTAGCTAACACTGCAATGACACGATAGTGGAGTGGTCATATTCTTACGGCATTGTGCAGCATCCTTCCGGTAGGTAGTGAGAGGATGAATTTGGACTTTTGGACGCATGTATGAAAATTGTACTCGTAAATGTGTAGTTTGTAGGATTGTAATGAACATTATGTAGTTTTCAAATGTGTATGCATATAATTTGTAGATCACTTGTTTTGAATCTTACTCTTTACAAAAGCATCATTAATTTTTTCCCGCCTAAAAGTTTGGGCCTAATCACATAAATATGGGTCAGTTTTTTTGGCCAGAAAAGTTATAATAGTTTTGTTGGAAAAAGTGGCAAATTGGGTCGGGTATTTACATTATAATAAGTGTATTCAAATTTTACAATTGGTAACAAAAAACCAATGTAATTTGAAAGTTAGTGATTTATCGTTGTATTGTTTCCTCCGTTCTTGAAAACATTTCTACCCTAATTTATTACGCACCCCACAAAACACTTTTATTTTACCTAAAATGTCTAAAATACCTCTAAAACAACTTTTACCCGCAATAAACTGCATAATGGGATCCACTTTAGACATTTTAGGTGGAAGTAAAAGTATTTTATGGGGTGCGTAAAAAAATTAGGGCGAAATTATTCTCAAGAAGGGAAGGAGTACTAATTATGGGTTGTTTTTACAAGTATGTTTCATGTCGTCTATCATTGCTTAAAATTCTCGTCGTGCATCACACAGGTTAGAACCTAGTAAATACAAAAATAAACGTGTGAAATAAGTATTGTGTTACTCATAAATCAATATTCGCAACATCTGCAAGAAACACTACATCTCGATGTAGAGTATAAGCAAATTTCATCTTGATCTCCCTCGAAAAAAAAGTTTCATCTTGATACTTATTTTTTCATAAAATACTTCCTAAGTTAGTCCTCGCACTTTATCATATACAGATTAGTTTAAACTTTTTCTTCTTTCTTTACCTACATCCACTAATCAACAACAACAATAACAATTCAGTTGAATTCCATGAGAGAAGGTTTGGAGAGGCAGTGTGTACGTACACCTTGCCCTACTCGAAAGTAGAGGGATTATTTCCCAGAGACCACGGTTCAAGTTGCACAGGAAGAGCCTCAAAATATCTCTTCTTGTTTCCTAAATATTTTTTTTTTATTTCGCACCATTATTTAAATAAGTTATATTAAAAACAGTTTCAGTTCTACATTGTAATGAGACAAATAATTTGTGACGAAGGACATACTCCGTATTCAATTTCATTATTTATATGATCAATTTTAAGTTACATCTTGTTTGGCTTCATTACTCGTTGATAGATAAATATTTATTTCATCCGAGTGTATTCGTAGAGTTTGAATTTTTCAAATCATACAAACCAAACTTTATTAATCAATTACGACCAACTTGTATTATATATTAATAATACAATAAAATAAAATTTTAAGAGATCTAAACAAAATAATTAGATCTAATGAAATAATTTTTACAATAATATGCATTCTAGTTTTTATTTAATCAAACTTCATAGTTCATCCAATTTGATTCATAAAAATCAAACTGGAAAGATACACAAAAACCAGGGTTACAGTTGGGCTTGAGAGTCATTCAATTCTAGAGAAATACAATACTTTATATGGATTCCTGGAGACCATGGGTTACAGTTGGGCTTAGCCTGGCCCAATACCATGTTAAATACAAAAGTAATTAAGAGGAAGCGTCATTTGTCTGAGGATTTCCGGCATTGCCTAATCCTGGCCTTTTGGGTCCTCTAGTTCCCTGCATTATCATCCCATGCATTATTATTGTATTGTTACAAAAAAACTATAAAAGGAAAAATTCATAAAAATATTTCTAGAGATCTCCGATTTTACGTTAATATTCTGAAAATTAATACTCGGTAATTATTAACATTATTCCTTGAAATTACTCACTTTTACATTATTACTCCAGGCTGCCAACGAAGTAAAATCCGTGTCATTTTAAATTATGACTGGGCAATTTTAGTGTTATGAGTGAGTTGACAACAAAAAATAAAGAAAATACTGTGATTGCGTTATATTTAGATAATTAGATTTGACAGTATATCTAATATCTTATGAAAATACATTGGGCAATTATAAACTAAAATGTATTTATTGATTTTTTTTCTTGGGATATGTTTCTTTTTAACTCAGATCATTTTTTAATAATGCTTCAGATAAAAAAATTTAAAATTCATATTTCATAAGATATAATGTTGAGTTTATCTCTTTAGACTTATCCAATGAATATAATTTTGATTATAAAATATTAACGTTAAAAATTCCATTTTTCTATCTAAAAGATTATTTACACTTTAACTGACTAAAATACTATACAAATGCATGTCAAAATTTCGATTTTACCACATTTCAATTTTCCAATTGAAAACGAGTAGTACGTACAATAGGTCTAGTTATAATGCATTCAAGATTATTTTTTTGTGTTCTATTAGTTGTAAATTCATACTTAATAATTTCTAAATCAACATAAAAAATGCCACACAACTCAATTGGTAATTTGGAGTAATGGTAAAATTAAATAATTTCTGGGAGCATTAGCACCTAATATTGATTCTTTGGAGTTATGTAAAATCACAGATTTTTTGGAGTATAAATGTGTAATTTTTCACCATAAAAATCTAAAATTAGTGTTTTCATAATTCTCTTTTTCAAAAAAATCATCTTTCAATTAAAATCATTATTTACGTCGATTAAATATTAATTTATCCAAGTACCTGTCACGCATACAATATTACTTCTTTGCAAAAAAGGATACTGGGAAAGTGAAATCTAAATTACACTTATTTTAAATACCATGAAAGTTAAATATGGAAAAGTTTTTTTGAACGAAATGAATGAAGAATAATGAAACCTATGAGTAGTCCGGAAGGAATTTGAAAGAAACCAGAAAGAAGTCAAAAGATTAGTCTACCTCTCTCTAATAATTTTCTCGGTTCCGATTACGATGTTTAAATGAAAATATTTTCAATGTATAGTAATTATATAAATATTAGTGTAGAAATAAAAAATAAAATTTACTCATATACCTAAAAATTAATTTAATTTTTTTACAAAATAAGTAACGACAAAATTATTTTATTTTATCAAATGATTTATAAAATAGATAAAGAAAAATACTTCTTCTAAACTAAGAGTTTCTTCTCAGTTACTAATCATATGGACAAATTTTAATCACATTCTTGGGTCCCCACATTCTTTGCTTATTTTCATAAGTCATTTGATAAAATAATACAGTCATGTCACATTTTATTTATAGAACTTTAAAAATATATTCTTTAAATATATATAAATTTTATTTTTAAATTTTACACATTTAATAATATGAATTGAATTAAAAATAACATTGGTCAAGTCACTTTAACCAAAATGAGAAGATTAAGGTAGAAGTAGTAATGTAATTTGATCTTTTGAATGCGGAGTAATAAACAAAAGGTTACTCGAGTATTTAAAAACATACTCCCTCCATCCCTAAATATATCTCACATTTGTTTCTTCAACAGTCGCGAAAACACTTGTTTATTTCCACCTTTTCATTGTTTATTTGATAAAATAAAATATTTTTGACATCTCTTTTTTCGAAGAATTTTTCAGGTAGTTTTTTGATATGTAAATTTTATTTTTTATTTCTATACCAATATGTAAATAAAATGAATTAAAAAAACTTGATATTTTATCTCGATAATAGAAATGTGAGATATATTTAGGAACGGAGGGAGTAACAAAATAAAATTTAAAAACCAAAAATTATGTCATTGAAGTTAGAGCACGTCTAGTGCAAGTGGCATCTAAAACTTATGTAAGGGTATTGAAGAGGAATGAAGGGAGGAATAAGATTATGCATGTGTGGACGGGGAAAGAAGAAAAGAATAATTAGAGGGAGCAGAGGAATAGAGGAGAGACATGAATACTCATGATGCTTTGTTCATAAAATTGACGATTCTTAAATTCAACAGTAATTTCACTCTCACCCTCCACCCAACCCTCTGTCCTAACCATATTTAGGCGGTAATAATGTAGTTGTGGCCATTGAAATGATGTCATATGAGGGTGGTGTAAACCTTACACTTCCTCTAATTTAAAATAACTTTATAAACAAAATACCAGGGTACACCCAAAAGTGTA